CCACCTTCTATTTTGAAATCTCCACCACCGCCACCTTCTATTTTGAAATCTCCACCACCACCAGCACCTTCTATTTTGACACCACCACCTCCTATTTTGAAATCACCACCCCCACCACCATCACCTTGCATTGTGACACCACCACCACCTCCTATTTTGAAATCCCCACCACCACCGCTTTTCCCGTCGCCATCTCCATCACCAACATTACCTCCTTCCATATCCCAATCTCCACCATCACCATCACCATCTTCATCGCCTTTTCCTCCAATCCCACCGAAATCTCCACCCTTTCCATCACCTTTACCTCCTAAACTACCCATATCTCCACCCTCACCATCACCATCTCCATCGCCATTACCTCCTGCCATATCCCAATCTCCACCATCTCCATCACCAACTCCATCCTCATTACCTCCTAACCTACCTGGCGTATCCCAACCTTCAGCATCACCATCTCCATCACCAGTATCTCCTGGCCTATCGCAGTCTCCACCATCACCAACTCCATCACTGTTGCCTCCTAACCCTCCAAAATCTCCACCCTTGCCATCACCATCTCCATCACCATTATCTCCTGGCGTATCCCAATCTCCACCATCACCATCACCATCTCCGTTAGCATTGTCTTCTAACCAATCGAAATCTTCACCCTCACCCTCACCCTCCCCATCACCATCTCCTACTAGCGTATCCCAATCTCCACCATCACCATCTCCAACACCACCGCCTCCTACAATACCTAAATCTCCACCTTCGCCGTCACCATCCCCATCACCATCACCTCTTGGTGTATCGCAATCTCCACCATCTCCATCATCAATACCTCCTAACCCACCAAAATCTTCACCCTTGCCATCACCAGTTCCATCACAGCCGCCTTCTAATCTACCCAAATCTCCTCCCTCACCATCTCCATCTCCATCACCAACACCTCGTGGCACAACCCAACCTCCACCACTNAATCTTCACCCTTGCCATCACCAGTTCCATCACAGCCGCCTTCTAATCTACCCAAATCTCCTCCCTCACCATCTCCATCTCCATCACCAACACCTCGTGGCACAACCCAACCTCCACCACTACCATCTCCATCACCGCTAGCTCCTGGCCAACCAAAATCTCCACCCTCACCCTCACCATCTCAATCACCATTGCCTCCAGGAGTATCCCCATCTCCACCCTCACCATCTCCATCGCTGTTGCCTATTAACGTATTAAACACTTCACCCTCATCCTCACCTTCTCCATCACCATCAGCTCCTAACCTACCCAAATCTCCACCATCGCCATCTCCAACACCGTTGCCTCCAAGCCTGCCGAAATATCCACCCTTGTTGCCGCCATCTTCGTCACCATTTCCTCTTGGCGTATCCCAATATCCACCATCTCCGTCTCCAACACCGTTACCTCCACGGGTACGTAAATCATCACCATCTCCATCACCATTATCTCCCAGTGTATCTCAATCTCTACCATCACCATCATCATCACCATCACCATCTCCATTCGCATTGGCTTCCGACCTATCTAGATTTTCACCCTCACCCTCACCCTCACCCTCACCCTCCACCTCACCCTCCCCATCCCCATCACCATTACCTTCTAGTGCATTGCAACCTCCACCATCACCATCTCCAACACCGTTGCCTCCTAGCCTAGCGAAATCTCCACCCTTATCGTCACCATCACCATCTCCTACTAGCGTATCCCAATCTCCACCATCACCATCTCCAACACCGTTGCCTCCTAGACTACCTATATCTCCACCCCGGCCATCACCAGTTCCTTCACCACTGTCTCCTAAACAACCCAAATCTCCACCCTCACTATCTCCATCACCAACACCTCTTGGCGCAACCCAATCTCCACCAATACCATCTCCATCACCACTAGCTCCTGGCCCACCAAAATCTCCACCATCTCAATCACCTTTGCCTCCTAGTGTATCCCCATCTCCGCCCTCACCTTCTCCATTACCGTCGCCTCCTAACCTACCAAAATCTCCTCCCACACCATCACCATCACCATTGCCTCCTCGCGTGCCCCAACCCCCACCATCTCAATCACCACCGCCTCCTAACCCACCAAAATCACCGCCACCTCCTAACCCAAAGAAATCACCGCCACCTCCTAACCCAAAGAAATCACCGCCACCTCCTAACCCAAAGAAATCACCGCCACCTCCTAACCCAAAGAAATCACCGCCACCTCCTAACCCAAAGAAATCACCGCCACCTCCTAACCCAAAGAAATCACCGCCACCTCCTAACCCAAAGAAATCACCGCCACCTCCTAACCCAAAGAAATCACCGCCACCTCCTAACCCAAAGAAATCACCGCCACCTCCTAACCCAAAGAAATCACCGCCACCTCCTAACCCAAAGAAATCACCGCCACCTCCTAACCCAAAGAAATCACCGCCACCTCCTAACCCAAAGAAATCACCGCCACCTCCTAACCCAAAGAAATCACCGCCACCTCCTAACCCAAAGAAATCACCGCCACCTCCTAACCCAAAGAAATCACCGCCACCTCCTAACCCAAAGAAATCACCGCCACCTCCTAACCCAAAGAAATCACCGCCACCTCCTAACCCAAAGAAATCACCGCCACCTCCTAACCCAAAGAAATCACCGCCACCTCCTAACCCAAAGAAATCACCGCCACCTCCTAACCCAAAGAAATCACCGCCGCCTCCTCCTATCTACTGAAATCTCTACCCTTACCATAACCATCTTCATCACCATTACCTGATGGACAAGATATCGAGTTTAAGAATAAAGGCGCCAAGCATGCCTATAGAATAAGATATTGTTATCGAGGCTCTAAGTATGTTTTCATTATTGCGCTATCATTGAACCACCATATATGTGTAATCAATGTCTGCATTAGATGTTCTATAAATAACAATCAATAAGGGAGTTCTTTGCTAAAAAATTTACTATCTTGCTGTCTATTTTGTATTTCTCACCTTAGCATTTCTTTTTTCCTTTTGTTTTTGATAGTGTAGAGTTTGGAGGGGGATTCAAAGATAAATCACTAGAAAGGAACAACTTCGTAAGTATTAGAGGATTGGAGACACAAAACTCCGTAAGGGTTTACATTCAACTAATTGCTAAAGGGTGTGCAATAAGACCCAATTAACATACTCCAAACCACATATAGAATCTTGATTTCTTGTGAAAAAGGCAAACACATTAAGTATCCACATCATAAATGAACTGGAAATAACCCATTTGACACAGGAAATAATAAGCTGGCTAGAATGAAAAATGCCCAACATGATTCATGGGCTGGGACTTTGCCAACTAATACTAGAATTGACCAAAGGATAGAGAAAATACATATTTGAAATTCATGTTTTCCACAACCAATATGTTCTGTTCTTGTCATATGAAGTTAAGGTGTCAAGTAAACCTTAGAATAACCTCTTTATTAATCCATGTTAAATTTAAAAATTTTATTCGTTCATTAGCTAAGCACAAAATAGTATAAACAACTGCCAAAGGATACACTGGTCATGACTAGAGTATGTTATTACGGAAGGAGGTACCTTACTAAAAGTTATTATATTTTAAGGTCAAGTAATAATTTTTTGGGGTATAATTTACAACTCTAAAAAGAGCTCTTATATAGGGAGAAGAAAATAATTTCGCTTCTTTCACCCCAAAATTAAGGAAAAAATCCATCTACTGAGCTTAGGGGATGAAAGGAACGAGAAGAGAATAAAAGAAATATGGCCACCTTGGTCAAGTGGTTGACGGAGGGACAACCACTTTTTCATCAATAAAAACTAAAGATAGTAGAAAGAAAAAGGAAGAGAAAATGAACAACATGAGCAAGAGAGGGTCAACACATGTCGTAAGCGCGATCATTAAAAGTTACAATTTTTCAGAATCAAGTTGTTATCTATAAACGTTAAGTTATAACTTATAAAAGAGAAATTACAATTGATTGAAACAATGCATGGTCAAACATGTATTACCTCATATTTCACATTCAAAATGTGTGTTTTGACCTTAAAATTAGTAGTTTTCGGTACGATACTAAAAAAAATAAAATTGGGTGCCATAGTGATACTTTTGTTGGAGTATGAACCTGGGCTTTTTTCTCAATTTTCTTACTACCTTGCGGCTACAGGGTGACACATGAATGTAAACAACTAGCAAAGGATGTTGGGGAAATTAGCCAAATTATAGTTTATATAGACATAAAATAGCTACATAAATTAATTAACAGATTAACTTTAGAATTTGAATGACCTGGAAGTAGTAAAATAGCATCAACAGTAACTGACTTATATGTAAATAACAATAATTCTATGAACAATAGCCAAATCAATAGTCAAATAATGGAAAACATATACCATACTAATGTTGAGGTTATCGTATAGTATGAGATCTAGCATTAGATATAAAATATAATATTTAATTAATCAAACAAAACATAAATAAAATAGAAAGTGTTGGTTTACGAGTATGTTGGTCTCCACAAAAGATTTTCTCCTATGATCTGTAGTCACAATCCTTTGACAGAGTAATCTCAGGCGATTATTTGATGTTGTGTTCAATTGTCTTGTTTAAGGACTTCCTTAAATGACGATAATCGACAGATTAAAAGCAAGTAATATGACAAAATAAGAGATTAACAAAAAGAAAGACACTTTTATTAATATTTGAAAGATTTATGGGTTACAAAAAATTGATAAATCAGCCTCAAGCACTAAGTCTATCCTAAAACTAACAAAAAATTAGGGGCGGATCTATGTGTGGGCCAGGGGCACAAGCTAACCCTTAAATTTTTTTTCTTAATATTATATGTATATTTGTGAGTTGTTTTGGTTCTATATTCGCAATTTGAAGGTAAAGTTGTTTGCAATTTACCTACAATTGATCTCTTTTTGTCTAAGCTTGATGATTGACTTGTTTCAATTAGATTCTAGTAGTATTATTACCCTTACTTCTTAATTTTTTATTTGATCGCTTTACGGTCATGGGTCTTTTGTGGGTTTGATCGCGTCTCTTTCTTGTAATTAATGTCTTTTTTATAGGCATCTCTTCACCGACAATTACATTGATTTTTGTTTTCATACAATTTTCTTCAATTTCTCTCTTGTTTTAACTAGGGAAAAAAAGAAGCCGGTACAATTTTTTTGACTTAATTGAGCTAACATACAACACTGAAACATATTTAGGCCAAAATGCAATTTTTTTAAAAATGACCAGAATGCCATTCGATAAAAAGGAAAATGATGAAACCCCTTTGAATGTCAAGTGACATTTTCAACAACAGTGAATAATTGGCACGGTAAATAAGGGAGCAGTAATCATCGTGACCTTTCTTCTTTCCCAAATTTGAAATTAGAATAGAATTTGTACCGATTCTCCACTTAGTAATTGTAAACAATGGGTTCTCACCCTAGTGAAAATCAACAGTGATTTTTTCAAAGAAACGAGGAAGAGCAAAAGAAAAATCCCGGAGTTTTGGTGTCGTGTAATTGTTCGCCGTCATTGAAAATTTTTTTTACTACACATTGAAATTCGCCTACGGGTTTCATATCTAAATTTTATCGATTATTTGAAAAAACCAAAACCAAAACCAAAATTAGAAAACCCTAATTTGAGAGATGAAAATTATAAAGTTGAATTCTTTTATAATGAATGAATATATCAAAAATTGAAATTTTTCAAAAACAAATTTTAAACAATTACAATAATTTTTTGTTTGATGTAACAGCGTGGAGTAACTATACTAAGATTTAAGAGATTTCATATGTGTCTTTGGTAACTATTTGGGGTTACAATCGGAAAATGAAACACACAAAGGTAAGAGTTTTTTTGTTTTTTTTTTAGTTCAGTTTTGTTTGTTTGATAAAATCCCAACTCAAGTTTTGTCAAAAGAAAATAATAAAATTTCAATTCTCATATGATGAATGCATGTGTAAAAATTAAAAATCTTGAAAGTTAATAGGTAAACAGCTACAGATTTTTTGTTAATTTTTATTATTTTATTTTTTTTTGAATGAATCAGTTGGAATAAATTTTATTGTCATTATTATAAATTTTAGTTTCAGTAATGGTATGTTTGTTGTAACTGTATTGAGTATCTATAAGGGTTTGTTTGTTTAGCGGGAGAATGGTAGAAAATACAAGAAAGATAAAATTTTAAAAATTTTCATATGTTTGGTTAGCATTAAAAAGAAAATGGTAGAAAAAATAATTTTCTTTCATGTTTGAATTTTCTCACAAATAATCAACTTTTTTTACTTATAAAAAACATAAAGAAATACAAGAAAGGTGTGATCTATAACTAACTTTTCATTTTACCCTTAATTTTTTATAAAATATTTTATTAGTTATTAATTACAAAAAATATTGCTATGAATTTGATTAATCATATAATTTGGCTCAAAGACCTTTGTGTTGGTGATTGTTCTAGAATTAGGTTTTGACCCGCTTTTTTAAAATTTTTGAACTTTCAATTATAATTTCATATTTTTTCTTTATAAACCAATTTCATATCATTAAGGGTAGTTTAGAAAATTATAAAAAAATTTCTTATAATTTTCCTTTCTTTCAAACACTAGAATGAAATTTTTTTTAGAATTTTCTCATAAATTTTTCATTCTAACTAAATACATTTATGAAAATATATTTTCTATCATTTTTTTTCTTTTACTTCGTTTTCTATCATTTTAACTTTACATCATTTTTTTTTTCTTCCTAATCAAACCGACCCTAAATTTTAGTTGTGAGACATTGCACTCTTTTAGAGGAGACATATCGAATACCTATATGTTGAGGTGTTATTAAATTTTAATTTTTTATCGGCTCGCTTAAAACATGGTTTATAGAAAAGAATTTTTAATTTTCAAGCTCAAACGTGGATGACTAAGGATATAATTTTTCAAAAGAAATGAACAAGGCTTCAAATAATATCACAAATGGTCTAAGATGATCTAGAATGCAACCCATGCATAACTCTCACATGAATTTATGAGGGGTATTGTCAACATATTACTCAATTAGTGCTAATCAAATCATAGATAATGAGATTATTCAAGGAATTCAAGCTAAATTGAAATTATTAGTTGAGTAAATGTTTAAAATCTCTCCAAGGAAGATGGGCTCAAAAACTACACAAGGTATCTACATCTTCACTATATATGTAAACTTCCAAAGAACCACATTATTTCAAAGGATCTTTTAAGAATAGTAGAACACATTGTGCGTAAAAAGAAAAGTTTCCAAGAAAAAATATAGGAATAGCACACAAGAAAAGCATAAAATTCCCTTATGAGCTATTTAGGGTTACACCTACAAGTAGGTAGAGTACCAAAACAATCTCAACATGATTTGCATGTAATATTTTATCCTAACATAAAAATTGCAGATAAAATATATTTCAAGATAAACCACAATAATGTTAACAAAAACATTCCTACTTAATATCCAAAAGCACTCCAAACTAACAAAAATTTAAAAGTAACAGAAATTCGAAGTTAATCCAAATCAAAAAGAAACTAAATAAACCAAATTACAAAATTATTGTAGCATGCAAAAAGTAAATTGTTTACATACAGAGAAAGATAGACAGTAGAAAGGTTTCAAAAGAACTAGGTCAAGCCTATGCCGAAGATAACGGTCCTCCAACTATCTTTCTCAGGCAGCTAAGAATTTTCTTCTAACTTGCTTGAATCTCTCT